ATGGGCTGAGCTGTAAAACTCCATGTGTGCTCATTTCTCTGACTGTGACTATAATAATAATCAGTCCCACTTTTGTTGCATGCATGTATTTAATCATACACAAAAATTCTGAGAAGCTTTGTTAAGAACAAATTTGGTATGGAATTCAAGTGTGTTTCATAAATAAGGTCTCAGACGTCTCCAAAACAGGTCCGGTAATTCTGTACTCATTACAGCCCTGAGTGCCAAGACTGATTTATTAAATATTTATGCCTTAATTACAGTTTGCAAAGATCTGGTAGTAGTTAATTCTTGTCCACAAATAGGACTTTTAATTGTTTTATCTGAATGTCCATGGAAACTATTTATTGCTTTTATTATCCATGATTTTTATCACTATTAGTACACACAGCCTCTTCAAGATTTTGGCATTACGATTCATTCATATTCAGAATATGAATGTCTACATCACATCCATTTGTAAACAGATGCAAATATTTTTACAAACTCCATTGCATACAGCCTTGCATGTAGCATCAGAATTTTCATCTAAAAACCTAAAAAGTAACTGAAATCATGCGCAGAACCACATAATCACCTTCCCACTTTTGCCACAACCATGAATGAAGTTTATTTTCTCATTTCCTCTCTACACTTCCGCTCAGGACTGACAGAGGCAGCTGTATCTGCATTAGCGCTGCAATTTATATTTGATTAGTCAGTTCTGTGAAACATGTTTGTTGTTCAGCACACAAACATTAGAATCCATCAGCACAACAACAACTAGCAGTGCTGAAAAACACAGCATCACTTAAAGCAAGAGGGCCAGACAGACGAGGCAAAGAAAGGTGAGCAATTCCCTCTCTGGAAAGTCATGAGCAAATAAAAAAAAATGTATTAAAAGCAACCCGTGACTAATTCAGAGAGCGCAGTTGCAGGAGGCCCAGAGTGAATGGAGACTAGCCTCTCTGTGCAAGCCAAGTGGCCACAGCTTTCTTAGCTTTCTCAGCTTAAAGGGGGCAAAAGCAGCAGGGTGGCCGTCTTTCCCTGGCAACAGCCAGGCACCACAGACTTGCCGTAAGCCTTTATGGTCAGTTCCCAGTCAATAATGCTTACCACATCAAAACTGAGTCAGTGGCACCGTCAGCAGTACCCAGTATTATCAATACTGATAAACGCTCATTTCCAGCCTGAAGACAGCTGTAGGGATTGGAACTTAAGTGAGGGAGGAAGGCCGGAGGATATGCTGAAAGTGGCCCTCCCCAGGGTGGGGGGTTGTCCTTTGTTCAGGCTGAGGCCCAGCACTCCTGGGACAAGCTTAGGCCATCTGAATCGCTTCCAATACGCAGTACTTGTATACAGACTTTAAAAGAGCCAGCTCTCAAATTAAAAAAAAAAAAAAGCTGGAGGTGGTTCATGACTGACAGCCTCCTTAAGGCAAAGCAAAAGGGCGTGTGAGAGAAAGAGCAGAAACAGATAACACTGGCTATTTAGAAGTTACTCCCAGTTCTGGCTCTCATCAGAAACATGCAACAAGAGGTACAGTGGACAGCAGGTCTAAATACCATTCCATCTGTACTAAGGAGAGCAAATAAAGCAGTGCTGTAAAACGTGTTTTACCAGTAAACGGAAATGCATTTGAGGTGATGCAGCTTTGCATTCATTCTGCTTCCTGTTTCTTCAGCTTCCTTTGCCAGACCTCTTCCTCTTAAAGTACGTTTACAGAAAGAGGTGGAGAGGCAATCAGAGCCCACGCTTGCACTCCAGTGGCAAGTGGGGAGAAGATTCATCGATAAGTAACCTTTAAAAATCTCACCAAGAAGAATAAATACTATACATAAATAATATTCTTGCAACAGCAACTCTCCATTAAGTCTGAATTAAACCTCACTACCTTACTTAACATATTATGTAACAAATAAATTCCACATCCATTCATTCAAGTTACTTAATGTTAAATAGCATAAGGAAATGGCTTCAACATTAAGAAAAGTGTTCCACTGGTGCAGTACACAAGGCTTAAGGATGCATTTCTGAAAAAAGAACTGACTGTATAATCTGCTTGATGAAGCAAGAGCTAACTACCAATGAAGCGTAGAGAAATGTCATTGCCTCAACAGTGTAGCAGGGAAAAAAGGCTACCCACATAGTCTTTCAGTAACAGCCACCATCTAAATACTGATGCTACTTCACACTGAGAGGATTCAGAAAGGACTTTCATTCATTTGCATCAGGCCCTGTCAAAATGAAGACATGTAGGCAGACAGGGCTGAAGACATTTAATTAAAGCTGATGTGTGAATGAAACTGGACATCTGCAAGAAGGACATGTGGTTAGTATGCTTTAGTATTTCTCTCTTAGTGCCATTGAGATTAATGATTTAAAGAACCATGAACAGTTGTTTTATGATACACAGCAGATCTACCAAGGAAGCCAGTCTCTATGCCAACAATGAGAACGTAAAGATTAAGTCCATAAAGTCTTAGGATTCTTAAGTGAGAAAATAATGAATGCATTCATAAATGGAAACTGTCACCAGCTAAATGATGCAGTAAATACTGAAACGAGGTCATGGGGCCTATTTGGGGCACACAGGCTTTCATTTCAGAAATTGTTCAGAATTTAGTTCATCAAAACAGAGAACGCGGAGAGGAAAGAATCGGTTACTCTATAGTCCTGGTGTTTTTATTGTATATAAACCTGTAATGTTGGTAATGCAACAATCACGCCTTCACTGACGTTTCAGTACAGAGCTGCACAAAGTTGTTTAGAATGCAGTCAAAAATTCAATGTTTTTAAAATCCCACCTTTTTGCAGTCTCTCATTACACTGATCTAAAGTTTCTAAGGAAAAGGAAGAAATCAAGCAGGCAAATGAACGACTGAATGTGTATTTCAGGGTGAAAGATTAAAAAAAATGACTCCAGCATATAAATGTGTTGGACAACAACTACTTTTCAATCCAAGCTCTCCCTCTGCCTCTCACATGCCCAATGAGATGGACTGAATGCTCTATAATGGTATATCAGAGTTATTTCACTCAATGGTCAGTTTATGTGGCGGTTTTGGATAATAATGCAATCATAATGCAAATGTAAAAATATTCAGAATAATCTTTTATCACTGTAAAACTCAAACTTTCTCCTCTTAACGTGCACAAAAAGACGTTTAAAAGTATCAGTATCGGTGTCGGAAGGATATTATTCGGTACTGGATCGAAAACAATCACAGTGATATCGCCCACTGCTACTTTCCAACACAAAATAAGTTCCAGCAAAGAGAAAGAGCGGCAGCAGCCACCGCCCAGCTCTCTCCCGAGAGAAGGAACTAGAAACTCTACCGCAGCACAGGAAGGAAGAGCAGCTCAGCTCGAGTCGCCTACAGAGCAGACAGAGCTGTGTAGGCCGTCTCCTTCACACTGTTCAGGTTGTTCATCTCCGAGCAAATATTAAAGTAATCCAGCGCTTCTTGCGACACTGGCTGTCCTAAACCACTTTGCAACGCCAAACGCCTACCAGTCTCCGCCTCTCGAGTCCTAAAGAGCACTTAGCGTCAGTTCCAGGCAGGTTTATCGCGGAAATCACGGCCACTCAGTGCCAGGGTTATTTAACTAGGACATAAATCGTAAAAATGTAAGAAAACAGTGGTTAATGTTACAGGGTTAAGCCCATAGACCCCCGTCATCTTAACTCAAAGACAACCGATTACATAAAAGCTGCACGTTTTCTAACGTAGCTAACTCCAAAAATGTGATATGTTTTGGTACACAGCCATGAAACCTATGATTATATTAAAAGAAATAAAACTGTGCATTTGTTTATGGCAACCACGTTTGAACTCACTGTACTTTCGACAGTAACGTTACAGGAAGTTAAAGAACATTGACGCTAACTTGCTAAAGCTAAGCTAAATCAAAAAACCGCCCAGATCAGATACAGCGGGAAGTTGAAAAAAGAAGGTAGCCGCAGTCCCACGCTAAATCACGATTAATGGGCCGATACTGTGATTAGTTATTCACACTCGCCTTTCTTCTCAAGTTAGAGACTGACAGAGGAAATTTCGCCTGGTCATTTCCTCACAGCAGGTCCGAGAGCTCAGTGTGCAGCCCTCAGACATTAGCCGGTTAGCTAGCTAGTTAGCCACCTAACGTTACATGGATAGTTAACGTGATCGTGAGCTTAGACAGATACTGTGGGACCGAGAGGTTTTACTGCACTAGTGACTGATTTTTGCAAGTTCTGTTTTGCGGATGTCTAGGATTCCCTGTGGGGTCATCATTTCAACTTTCCCACACTCAACGTCTAACAAAAAAACCCTCTCAGAGGACTGGAACCATCTTAAAAATGTAAGAAGACCGAATAAGACAGTTTCTTTAAAAATCAGGAAAAGCGGAGGCCTCAGGCCAAACCCCAGAATCTGCAAAGAACCTCCAACCCGTAACTGTTACCAACTATCAGACAGACAATACCTGATCATTATTCAGCCCCTGCTGTGAGCAGCATGTGATACGTTAGATCGCTGACACAATAACGTTAAGTTACCCCGCACTGTGAACAGAAAAGGCGATATTTTTACGCGTCGAGTAAAAAAACCCGGCAGGTTAGCGCTACTAAGTTACCGTGGATTTAGTCGTGCCAGCCAACAGAAAATATCTCAGCAGCAACTTCAGGTTTTGAAGTTCTCGGACTCGCTAACGTTAGCTCGACAGCTCCTGCCACAGAGCCACCGAGCTGCAAACGAAGCTGAAGTTGACTTCCTGTTCAAATCTTTCCGTTCCACCTTAAACGGTGCAGCAGTTACATTCTGGTACCTCAGGCGGCAGAATGTAACTGCTTCACATTTAAGGTGGAACGGTGAAATGTGACCGAGGAAGCTGGCGAGTAAGAAGCCGACTTCAGCTTCGTGAGCTGCAAACCGGCAAAATAACTGACATACAAAGTAAACCACTTTCGGGCGTTTTGCTCCTGAAGGAAGATTATTATAACGAGGCCGTGTCGGTCAGTGTGTTTTAAGAGCTCTTACCGAAGAAGTGCGGGCGCTGCTCGTCGTACGTTAGAGTGAGCTTCTGACTTTCCAATGGCGCGAGGAGGGAGCGGCGAGTCCAGAGCGCGACACGCTTCCGGGAACACCGAAGCGCGAGGCCAAGACCGCGAGAGCGCGCACGGCCTTGCGTTGAGCGTCTCTTTGCGCATGCGCACAAAAAGCACACGCGCGGAATGATTCATTTACCGAGCCGATTCTTTCGAATCAGCAACGATTAGGTTTTCTGTGGTTACGGGTGATGTGGGGATTAGGATACTCGAAAGTTCATTAATATTCATAAATCTCAACACAGAACGCGGCATCTGATTGGTCGAGCCAGTAAGACCATGAACTGGAAGAGTCTTCTTGCCAGCTGCTTAGTCATAAAGGAGTGGAAATGTGTTTTTAATTTTCTTCTTTTTTGAACCGTTTACACTGAAGAACTGATCACCAAACCAGACACAGACCGTTTAAAGTTATTATTATCAGCTAGTATTATAAAATTTCTGCTTAAGTAAATAATTAAAATGCAAACAAAGTCTTTCTGTGTGGTTCAATGTGAAATGCTCCGTAAAAGTCACATCACAGAATCACAGAAAGTTGCAGAAATGTTGATGCCTGATACAATGCTGATGCTGACCGATGCCCGATACAATGTTTTCTGATAGTTTTGAGATAAGGCTTTGGCTAAAAATGTTTATTTTTTATTTTTTTTATTTTTGCCCCTGGTTCATATTACTAACATTGTGACGAAATCCGAGTAAGTTTCTCTAACATGAACCATTTCATATCAAACCACTATATATGACTTTGTTTACATCTCAGCAATTGATTTTTTTTTTTAAATCAGTGGAATTCCCCTTTAACTCAAGGACTGTCACATATTGCCAGATATCATTGTTGTATACACATGCGCAGTTTATGTTGGGGACACAGGAAACATGTCTACCAATTTTTAAAGGGAGGTCTGTTTTAAATGTTGTATGTTACAGCTCACTGCAAAAATAAATAAATAAATAAATAAATAAATAAATAAATAAATAAAAATAAAATAAAATAAAATAAAATAAAATAAAATAAAATAAAATAAAATAAATAATAATTCCTATTTCCTAATTGTCCAGAAGACAGTGCAGAAAAGCATTTTTGGTCATTACACTGTGATCACCATGTGATGCTCTGGCAGCTACACAGTGCCCTGACAACAAATAAGAACTGACACTAGAAATATCAGCTAAATGCAGTGCCTTTAGATAATTGTCTTTTATTTCCTGACTGGGGTGAGTGCAGTGGGAAGTGCTACGTAATACCAAGACATTAGGGCAAATGTGACTATTCAGCGTAATATGAGCTACATTCTTCTTTTATGACTCAAACATTGCAGTAACAAGGCATACAACAGTATAGACAACATAGAAGACATGCAGGATGGTTTGTAGGCTAGCTCAGCTCTGGAAGTATTGTAGCGGGTTCAAGAAATGTTTTTGTATGTTAGTTTTAGATTATGTGTTCTCTAGCATTTATTATACTTGGTTCGTTTTGCTGTGGACGTTTATTTTAGAGGGCTAGGAACTACCCCAAGGGCTGCATTCAGAAACTTTTGCTACTTCTCCTGTCCTCCCTCTCCCTTTCTACTGCTCCTCACCTACCCCAGAAGAACACAGAGGAATTGAGGAGGAGCAGGAAGAATGGAGAGAACAGCTGGAATATACCACGAATTGTGCAAAACCTGTCTCTTTTAAGAGCAGTAAATGCAACAGCATTTAGGTCCAATGGACATACTTCATGTTGTCCTTTAAATGCATAGAATTATTAATTACATATTTACATACCATGCAGTCCATAAATAAAGCTCCTGTTTTATTCCATTTCATCTCCATGAACTTCTATTTGATGAGGCTTCTCAATTTCTGACTGTTAACTGTGGCTTCTTTTAGCACTATTGGACTGCAGAGAGATGTTGCCTATGTGCTTTCAGTTGCACACTGGCAGCCCTTATGTTACCTCTTGTCTGACATTTTTACCTGACATTCTGTGCTCAAGAGCTTGTTAGACATAGCAACAGTCACATGAAAAGCCATTTGAGCATGTTTTTTTAGCTAATCACAGCATATGTACATTTAGCACCATTTTTAATATCAAATACACATTGGGTGTTTATTTATTCATGTCTTTTTTCTGGCCCATGCTTTTCAAAGCACCTTTACAAACAAAGATATGCCCATGCTTGCATATTAAACAGGGTTGCCGCTTTAACACCTGCTTTGTTTGGTGCGAACGTATCAAACTTTTTCTTTAGTTCAATTTTGACAGGTGTGAACACTCCACCCATACTTGGATGCAAACTGAAGAAATGAACTGTCCAGCAAAAAATTGCACATCTCGATTCGCTTCCAAATGAACCCTGGTTCAGTTCACTGCTGGTGGGAGCGCATTTTTGTGATGGCAAGTCAGCGCTGTACTTTCCATGTATTCTGCCTGTTTTAACATCTGACACTTCACAGATGCTCATGGTTCTTACAGCATGAGATGCGGCTGACAATGGCAGACGTGTAATAAATAAATAATAGCGAAGCCTTTGAATTTGGCTCATAGATTGTGCATCATATTGCATCATTGACCTGATTGGCCACATTCAAATCAACAAATCAATCGTAAAGAAGCAAAAATCAAGTATGGTTATCATTATTGCTTTGATCGTGACATTCAGCATCTCTATTTTCATGCAAAGTTAAAGTTTTAGTCCGAATGGTGGCAAACGTGAGAGTAATAGGGCACTTGTATCCCTGCAAAATTTCTGACCAATGAACACGCACTCGTGTATAATTGGTCCAGTGTAGCTGTTGCGGTTTAAAACTGAGCAAACCAAATGGATAAGATAGAATAACACCAAAACCTAAACTCTGTTTCAGACTTTATCAAACTAAGTAGGTGTAAAAATAGCCTTTGTATCATTTTCAAGGTTAGATGGATCAGAGAGGATCGTGGTGTCATTTATAGCCCCCAAAATGTTTGTTCATCATGAATTTTTAAAATAGCAATAGCCAGGAAATTTATCAAAAAACTGGACATTTGGTCCAGTTGGCACACAGAACATCTTTTTCTTCATAGTGTATTTGGCACAGATCTTTTACATGTAAATACTATCTGTCTACCAAGACAGATCACAGACCAAACAAAAGTATTAAAGTCAAGCAGTGCTATCTTCTCTCTTTTAGAGAGAAGCTGCAGGTCCTAAATATGTTATTCAAATGCGCAGATTACAGATTGGTAGTTTCAGTTTGTGCAATTAGAAAGAGTGAGTGCGTATACATGCACTCAATAATACGATCATAATCTGATTTCTGCAGTTATCCGATTATTCAAATGGTCATGTAAACACCATACGTTTAGAAATCTAGAAATCCAATTAAGAAATCTGATAAAGCAAGCTGGATTTTAGCTCAGTAATCAGATTTCTCAGTGCATGTAAACTCGTATTCTGATTTCTGTCGGATTTCTCAGTCTGCACATGCGCGATAACAGACGGTGGATGTCTAAATGATGTATGTTCATATTTTCAGGTCATGTGGCGCCATGATTTAAAAAAAAACACGCCCCATGAAGTTTGAGTTTTACGGTACGTTTACGTCACGTCTTCTTCTGTAAGTTTATTGGCTGGTTGCAAAGCAGAAATCTGATTACTGTTTGACTCATGTAGACCTGGAGTTTCTCATTATCTGATTACCCAGGAGCATGTAAACACACTTGATCGGATTACTGACAAAATCTGATTTTCTGCAGTTATCGGATTATTGGGTGCATATAAATGCACTTAGTGATTTTGTTTTGTAGTTTGTACATGTGTAATAGCCTAGGTCAGGGATCAACAACCCAAATGTTAAGAAGAGACATTTTGTCCTTTCACCAAAATCAAACCACCTTTGGAGCCACATTTTTTGTCCATTTTACCATTTTGGCAAAAACATGTCTCAGGATGTGCTAATATATTGGTATAAGCTAAAAAATATTATATAAACAAAAATGCAGACTTACTTCGCTCTGCTTTAAACTTTACCTCAGCTATAGACACTTTTCTCGCATCTCCAGCAGGAAATTTTTCCACAAAAGTAAAATAATTGCTTGTAAAATGTCTCTCAACATTCAATTTTTTTTTTTAGGCTGAAGTCAGCTTCTCATTCGCCAGCAACCTTAAATGGTGGCTGATGCCCCATAATGTGACTGCTGCACCATTTAAAGTGGAACGTGAGAATTCGAACAAAAAGCTGGCGAATGAGAAGCAGACTTCAGTTTTACGACTTTTTAGCGTTTGATAGTTTCTTGTTGCAGAATAAATGTATCAGGAAACCAGCTGGAGTGCTCATACATGTAAATAAGTCAGTTCATCTCCAAATGATCAATGTCTTAAATCTTTCTCTTTGCCGTTTGGTTAGCTACTAGCTAGGCAAGATTGTTGTCTGCATTGCTATGTGACCAGCAGTCCATGCGCCAACCTTCATGTGTTAAAGGCTGGTGAATTACCAGTGTTTAAGACCATTTACTGCTAAAACGGTGTCAGAACGATCAGCAGAGCTTTATTTTACTGCAAAGGATAATCATTTTATTTTTACCTAAAAATCGCAGTCGCAGCAGGGCAGTAAAAGAGCCTGCATGTTGACGACCCCTGGTCTAGGTGATACGGTCATAATGACATGTGAGAACACAAAAATTACATAATCTCAGTTATTACAAACTTTTTGTTTAGTCTCACAAATGAGGATTTATTAAAGGAATAACATTTCTACAAATTCTGTATTCATTTAAACCAAAAGCTTAAACAACATTCACTCGCATTCTTCTTTATCACTAACCTTTATCAGACCTGCTTCTTCAACTCTGTCAGATTTCTTCAGCGTCTTTCTCTGCCTCTTCTTCCCTGTGTTCAATAGTATGTTATGTTTATTAAACTCAGATAGAGATGGAAACTCTAATAGAAATATGAAAATAATAGATTGTGGAGTTTAATAACATTCTTAAAATAGTTGGCTCGCTGACATTCATGCTTTATGGCATATCCCTTTTTCTTTGCCTCATGTGAACTTATATTTGGCTAGTTAACAAGCAACCGGCTAAAACTCGACAGCCAGCAATACTAACCATGATTTGCACAAATCCACATTGTAGGTAAATATCTTCATTCTGTAACTACTTACTCAAATTGGCTTACAAGGTCTGATATGATTGACTGAGCCAGCGTTACACTTTCCCCCAGTGACTCCGCCGAGGCAGTGGTGAATTACAGCCTAGATCAGGGGTGTCCAATCTTATCCACAAAGCGACGGTGTGGCTGCAGGTTTTCATTGCAACAAAGCAGGAGATCACCTGATCAGTTGTTTAAAGACTGAGACTGACTGATTAAACAAGTGAAATCAGGTGTGCTCTTCTTGTCTAGAACGAAAACCTGCACCCACACTGGCTCTTTGGGGAGAAGATTGGACACCCCTGGCCTAGATGCACCATATGGACAAAAGTACTGGGACACCTACACATTACTCCTATAGGAGCTTTTATTACATCCCATTCTAAATTCATAGGTATTAATATGGAGTTGGTTCCCTTTCGCAGCTATAATTACGTCCACTCTTCTGGGAAGCTTTCTACAAGATTTTGGAGTGTGTCTGTGGGAGTTTTTGTCCAATCATCCAGAAGAGCATTTGTGAGATCAGACACTGATGTTGGATGTGAGTGCCTGGCTCGCAATCACCATTCTAGTTCATCCCAAAGGTGTTTGATGAGGTTGAGGTCAGGGCTCTGTGCAGGCCAGTCAAGTTCTTCCACACCAAACTCACCCAGCCATGCCTTTACAGACCTTGCTTTGTGTGCTGGGGCACAGTCTCGCTGGAACAGAAAAGGGCCTTCTCCAAACTGTTCCCACAAAGTTGGGAACACAGAATCATTCAAAATGTCTTGGTCTGCTGAAGTATTAAGATTTCCACACATTTTTGGCCAACCCCTGAAAAACAACCCCAAAGCATTATCCCTCCTCCACCAAACTTTACACTTGGCACAATGCAGTCAGACAGGTAATGTTCTCCTGGCGTTCTCCAAACCCAGACCTGTCCATCAGACTGCCAGATAGAGAAGTGTGATTCATCACTCCACAGAAAACGTTTCCACTGCTGCAGAGTCCAGTGTTGGTGTGCTTTACATCACTCCATCCAACCAATGCTTGGCATTGTACTTGGTGATGTAAGGCTTGCATGCAGCTGCTTGGCTATGGAAACCCATACCACGAAGCTCAGTTTCTGTGCTGATGTTAATGCCAGCGGAGGTTTGGAACTCTGCAGTTATTGAGTCAGAACAGCATTGAAGACTTTGCGCCTCGGCATTCGGCGACCCCACTCTGTGACTTTAAGTCGTCCACCACTTCGTGGCTGAGATGCTGTGGTGCCTAAACACTTACACCTTTCAGCCATAACACTCACAGTTGATTGTGGAATATCTAGGATGAAAAAAATTTCGCAAACTTACTTGTTGCAACAGTGGCATCCTGTTACAGAATTCAGTGAGCTCTTTAGAAAGACTCCTGTGCCAATGCGACTGAATAAAACACCCGAATTCAACTATTAAGAGGTGTGTCCCAATACTTTTGTTCATATAGTGTATATGATTAGAGCAGTAGCAGCAGCACCTCCATCTGTCCACACCCTGTTATTACAATATATCGTGAATTTGAAGACACAGGTTGAATAAAGAATAATGAATGTTGAATAATAAAGAAAAAATCCAAATTACTTTTGATGATTTGAACTTATAATGTACAGTACTCTGGGGGGACGCAGTTGATTAATGAAGAATGAATGCAAATTACACTTGATGATTGAACTTGCAGTGTAAATTCATCTGGGGGGGCTATAGCCTCCTTAAAACTGGCCTAGCGAGGCCCCAGGAAAAAAATAATCTTTCGTTGGATGTAATAATGATTGCGATGAACATGAAGACCAATCAGACGCCGCATTCTTTGTTTGGGGTTTATGAATATTAATGAGTTTCCCTCGCGTATATTTAAGCAATAGAACACGAGAGGGAGTGTGTTACGGCGAAATAACATCACAGCTGTGATTTGGTCGCTGTGTCGTGGATCATCACAACCGTGATGTTATTCGCGATAACACACGATCTGGACTGTTCTATTGCTTTTATACAACAGTTAAATAAATAAACTCAGAAATAAATAAATTGTGCCGTGAACGAGGCATTTCATATGTTTTAATGTTAATTCCTTCTGCCAAATTATAGTTCCTTAACAAGCAGCTTGCTGCTACGTCAGAGTAACGAACTCTGCTCACTCGCTGCACAGTCTGCTGTAAACCTCGCCTGCTGAAGTACGGACTGAGCCATAAAACTGCCGCGATATCAATTTTAGCTCAGTGTTGTCTTTTTTTGTTAGATCAATATTAATTTTGTTTTGTTCCAGCCAGTCTGTAAAGCGTCTTACAGCCCATTTTGTTTGGCGAATGGTATTCGGTTCATTTCTGGCTAATTCCAGGTTGTATAGATGTTCTTCTGTCACAGCTGCCGACTGAAAAGCTTCCTCGGTGACAGTTCGGGAATTTAGTGTAGTCTCATCTTCAGAGTCGGCTGTCGGTCAAACGTTATCTTAAAAGTATCCATTTTCTGTTTGTGCGCAAAGTAAGAAGTAAAAGCGTTCAAATGGCTTGAGCGTCTCCTACAGCAGTCAAAGTCGTTGCTTAGCAACGGCATCTCAGCGGAGTGATACAGTGTGTGTGAAAAACGCTGATGTTATGGCCAGAGCCGCTGGTTATGGCGAAATAACAGCACGGTTAGAATGCTTCTGACCAATCAGCTTGCCGGAACTAACTGTTGTATAATAAAGCAATAAGCCACCGAAGGCTGTGGTCTAAAACTCCCTTTCCCATAATAAAATCACAGTAACGCACTGCCTTCAATGGCTTAGTGCTTTTAAAAAACGGCGGCCAACATAAAATATATTTAAATACACATTGTTTTAAATAATTATTTAAGTTATTATTAATAATAATCGACATAAACAAGTATTCCGCCAAGAAATGTAGTTCTTTTAGAGTAAGGTATCGTTGCTAAGCAACCATTGACCGCTGAATGAGAAGAACGTTTGGTCGCCAATCACTGTAAACTGCAGATGTTTCATGATTTTGTATACTTTTTTCGTATAATTGTGAACATATGTCACATAGCCTTGTTTAATGCATGCCATTTAATGCATTTGTATAAGTATTTTTCGGACACCAAATTACCATCGCAAGTCTTCTGCCAGTCTGATGACGCCACTTTTCTCACGCTGGGGCTAAATCTCAAACGGCTCCCTGCTCCCTACATAATGCACTACGTAGGAATTTAAATACTGACTCCTGCACCCCAACAATGCAAAGTATGGCTAAAAATGGTCATTTGGGATTCATACTCGACAAGCAGCGCACTATTTGGCAGCAGAAGCTAGAATTTCTAAATTTAATGTTACACTGCACACTATTTAGCTAGGGAGTACGGAGCCGTTCGGGATTCAGCCTGGGTTTGATGCTACTCCTGACTGTAACACGGACATTTTGAAGCGTGTAAGCCATTCAGGTGACATCCTTTAGACTTTTACATAGCTGGGACACACTGTAGTAGCAAGGTGCTTGTTGCTTTTGCTACCTAGTAACATCAAATGTAACTTAGATGCTGCTGTATGTGAACTGAATATGAATACATGTTTTGATTGAAATGACATACTGACTATGGGTTTGACCGCAGTTTGAAAACGAAAAAGCTCCGTTATGTATGACCAGCCGACTTTACGTGCTGCTGCTACATCGCGCTTTTGGTGACATCTGGTGGCCAAAGGAAGAAAATAAGAAAAACCAACACAGACAGGTACAAGTACTCACCAACTATGGCAAGACGGTGTAGCTTCTAATGTTCTAATATCAAAAATTCTGTTTGAGGGTATCAGTATTGTATTTACACTAAAAAAAAACATTGAAAACACAGTAAAAGTCGAATTCTAGCAGGTTTGACATCAACAAGCTGGAATTATATTTCTGCATGCAGCTTAGTTCTCACTAGTGCGAATTCATGACTTTTACCGATTCACTTTAATTGAGCACTTTGTACTAGCACAAATTACATTTCAGGACCTGCTAATTCAGTCTTCACAAGAAAATGGCATGCTGAATTTCTAATTCTTACATATCCAAACTAACTTGGAAAAAATCAATTCTTACATTTAAGAACTTCAGCTTTACAAATTCAACATTTTTTTTTCTGAATTACCATATTAAAATGTAATGCACAAAATATTACCAACAAAATTAACAAGGCCAATAATTTTACATGCTTCAGTATTTACTAGCAACAGTTCAATTTTGTTATAATTGGAAATACACAATGTGGTTTGAATTGTGCCAATAACTTTACAGCCCATACAGAATTATTAAAAATAGTGAATTAAAAGGCCTCATCACTTAATACTTGGGGTACAACTACAAAAATTAGGGCTCCAACTGATGCAGGTTTTCAGAATCTACTTTGACTTAGAAAACATGTAGTTGGTAAAATCCAAAATAAGGTTATCGGCATTTCAATAACCTGGAAGAGGGCACCACATGTTCCCAAATTAGCCCCAGTTAAGAGCCAAGAAGGGTACACATGCTAAAATGCATCCCATAACTTCAATTTTTCAGCAATGTTGCACAGAACAAACACTGGGAAGCCTTTCAATTGAAGCATGAGACTTGATAAAATCATGTTTATGTACAAAAATATACTGGATTGACATACAGGAAGTGACAAGCTTTCCAAAAAAATAAACTAAAGCATTTCTCTGAACTACACCACCTTGTGACCAAAACCTTTATCATAAGTTATGAAATAATGCTTTGAGCAACACAAACCACCCCACCCAAATACATTTGGTATACAAGTAGTCATGTCTTTACAAATCTGTGCATTAACTGTACACTGATGTTAAATCTATGCTTATACAAAAGAAAAAGAGGCATTGCTTGGATACTATGTACTGCAGGTTTTATTACAATGATCTACAAAGGGAAGGTAAAGACAAGCACCCCCCATCAAATCCTACAGTCAGACCAGGTTTTTTTTCCAAAAAGGAACTTAAAAACCAACAAAAAAAAGTAGGTAAAAAACATGTCTGAGCATTTTAAAAGGAGAAAGACTGATACACAAGTTTAAATCACTTGACATTAAAGTGTAAAACGTCCATGTTCAAAGCTGTAATGACCGCAATCTCATGAGAAGAGATGAATGCAGCTTTTGCCAGGGCCATTTAGCTGGTATCCATCTGTAAAGACAAGAGAGGGCAGGTTATACACTGGTTTGTTAACCTCAGTAAGTGCATTTACTGTGAGAATAAGCAGGTGAAACATACCCTGGCATTGTATGCATCTAGCTGGGCATCCAGCTCTTCTGCTGAGAGCTGCTGTTTGTTATTTCCTCTTCCTCCTCCTCCTCTGCCACGGCCTCTGAGCCCTCCACCGCGACCTCCACGGCCTCTCTGTACACCTCCAAAGCCTCCTGCTCTGTTTCTGCTCATGCCTCCACCACCTCCACGATTCAGACTGAAAATTCAGAAGAAATAAGTTTCTACCAGACAATTACCAATTCTGAGGTGTATACAACCAACTCCAATTGCTACTTACCCCTGCATTGGGGTTCGCCTCTGTGCATCAATCTGTGATGTGACGAGTTGTATGTTCATTGGACGACCTGGGAAAAAAAACCTGGTATTAAAACATCCTCCAGAGCAAGCTTAAGTAGAAGATTCTCTGGGCAGCTTAAAACTAAAATTCAGCAGAGATAAATCATATCCAAGTTTCAAAGCTCACCATCAAGTGGAACACCATTGTACTGTTTCATGGCTTTCAGAGCATCTGCTTTCCTCTCAAAGTGGACATCTGCCGTGCCAAGGCTGCGTCCTGACCGGTCATAATGGACTGCAGCTTTCTTCAAAGTGCCAAATTCTGCAAAAAGTTCCTGTGGACAGGAAGTGAACAATTAACCCATTGCTACAAAGCGTCTACATGTTTTACCCCAGGCGTCACAAGCTATCTCCTAAAAGACTATACCTGAATATCTGCATCTGAGACTCCAAAGTCGAGATTGGATACTAGAAGTTTTCCTCCGGTTTCCACGCCAGCTCCACCACCTCCTGCACTGGCATTGTAGCCATTGTCGAACAGGTCATGCTGCCACTTGTCAGGGAGCTGCTTGGGCTGCAACAGATGAAAGAGAACGCACCTGCTGACTTCGGATCCCGTCTGTCACTGACAGTCCACTCGGCTGGGTGCTGGGGCAAGCAGGGGCTCCACCTCAACAAGGCCGGGGGCACCCAGTGCGCTCAATGTGATTTCCAGCAATCCCTGCCCACCCCATCACTATAAACAAGTTAGCCAATGCAAGGAAGGAAAGTGGCAACAATGTACAGTGCTACCCACTAAAGTATCATAAAACAACCATGGAACTTAAAAAGGACTTTGTTAGCATTTCCTTCCTTTAACTCAAACAAGCCTAATACAATGGGTTCTAGGCCACGTACACCCCAAATAAAATTAAGTTACAAAACTGCAGTCAAAGCATATCCAATTAAAAGAAAGAGCAAGTCACAATAAGCATATCAATGTATTGGTGAAAACACCAGTTAGTTAAGCCCTGGCATTGCTGCCCACCCACCAGGTAGTTAGCATTTAGCAAACCACCAACAACCCCCAAAGAGTCTCTTGCCGTTCACTCCAAATGAATCTCTGCAGGCCTTCCCAGGGTGGGTGTTCCACAGCTGACATTCAGACCTCTCCGATGGGACAAATGGTGAGATGGATCGTGAGAGTCCATTGAGGGGGGAAAAAAACAAAAATGAGGGGAAACAAGTCCATCAATGGTTTGAGTGCTGTGAAGCCTTTTGAAAGCAACGGCGACCACTGAGCGTCCATTTTGAAAGCACGCCATTTTGACACAACCTGCAACTTCATAAAGGCCAACTTTCTATGTACTCAAAACCAACTATGTACTTCTGATGCTCCCAATGTAGGTTGATTGACTAGAAAGCCAAAGTCCATTTTCCTACAAAGTAACCCTAACGAACTATCCTAGCCCTGCTTTCAGAGATATCTGAACACGGCCCCTCCCAAACAAAAGGACTCCACCAAGAAGGTAGGCCGTGTTCATGGCTTGGCCTTTAAATAAACAAAAAAAAGTTAAAAACTCCAACTTGCATCGCTGGTCATCTCTGGAGCATTTTGAACGCCGAATGATGAATGCTGAAGAAAAACATGAAAGGCGAAAAGCCACCATTTCATTGATAAAGATGCCGTATCCAAAATGGCGCCGGTCGCTGCAGGTTAGCAGATAAGCCACTTTAGCCACGATGTAGCAGCGTTAGCCGACTCGCTCCAGACTCTCGACGAAAGGACAAACAGGTTTTGGGGGAAGAGAGAGAACATTATGCACAACATAGCCTTCTTAACTTAAACGCCAATTTAACGAGCTTCTCCGCATTTACATTTCCAGAGAAACTCCCAGGGAAAGGGGCACTGTAGCACGGCTGACTAGCGAGCTAGCCGTTCGCTAGCAAGCCTATAAACAAAAAGAAGGACTTCACCCGGGCACTTTGGACGTGCTCGAGGTTTTGCTCCTCTTTCTCAGCCAATTTTCTTTATCTTTCTCCTACCCTGCTGTACGGCGTGGGTCTGCTTCTGCCGCGGCTCAAGCTCTGTCGGTTCCTCATAGGGCCTGATCCTCCACCGCGGCCTGCAAAGCCGCCGCCCGCGCTTGCGAGTCGCCCGGCGCCACCACCGCGGCCACCGCCGGCGCCTCCCCGTCCACGGCCTCCTCTTCCACCGCGGCCGCCTCCGCCACCCCTCTGCTGCTTATTCTGTTTGATGATGTCGTCTAGTGACATATCCAGCTTGTCTGCCATTGTTTAGCTCTGTTAAACGCGGACTCCGCTCTCGAATAAAGCAAGCGCAAACCCGTACACTACTGCTACTCCGCCCCTGACCCGCTCACTCGAAGGAGGAAACAACACAACGGGCGCCTTTACAGCTCTTATAGGAAGGAGAGGGTGACGTACACGAGCGTGTGACGACTTCCGTTCCGCCGTGGTACGTTACTACTCTACAATAACAAAGCTGATAGTAACGCAGAAAAACACTTAGTTAGGTGACTAAAATGAACTCACTCACATGAACATTACGCTCGGATTTTTTAAAAAGATGTGTACCTAATAATTATCTATACTGCGCACACGCACGTATGTCATACACTGATGTTCATAGCACACGTTTTTACGTTTATCCAGTCTGTCCACTGAAAGGAGCAAAACTAGAGGTGGGAGATACGGCAAAATGTAGTATCGCCACATTTTTAAAAACACTACTAACAATTATTGTATTCAGCCTTCCACACATTATGCTGCACTAAATCCAATTAACATGACTCATAATGCTCTGATTATAATCAAACATGCAGTTGGGAAGTGTCTTTAAGTACTGATGGTATCCTCAGAAAAACATATTGCGACATATACATAGTAAAAACAAACACTGTCGTATTGCCCAGCTCTAAAGAAATCCATTACAAATACTGGATATTCCTACAAGACAAAGCAAAACGCCACACCAGTGAAATGCAGGCACGATTTAAAATCCTTGGTTAGGTTTCGGGGCTATGTTGGGGTCTGAATAGAACAAAAATGAATCACTATGGATGATCTGCGGCCAGCACTGAAGAACGTGTGGCAGGTTCTTTAAAATATTTCACTTTAGAAAAAGGTTATCCTCAGGACTAGATAACCTACAAAATGCTGAAAAACACTGTAAACTTTTAGTGCGTATTTAATATTTTGCCTTCATTGCTGGTATGTCAGACATTAATTACAAGAAAACAACCTTTGTGTAGTACTTTTTAACAGTGTTGTTTAGGATGTCCAATTTTTTTCACAAAGGGCTGGTGTGGCTGTAGGTTTTTTTTTTTTTATCCAAATTTAATCCACTTGTTTGGTCACAAACACTGATCATATGTTCTCCTGCTTTGTTCGATTGAAAACCTATAACTACATTTTTATTTTATTTTTGCAGTCTTGTTGGAATACCCATTTGTTGTGGGTTTCCTTTTTTAAGGGAACAAACAACATAAGCACATCAAAAAATACCTCCAACTGAAATCAATCGCACTGCACACACATATGTTTCAGGTATGTGCATTTCCTTCTTTCAAAAACTGTACTATTTTAGTCAGCATTTTATCAGATGTCTGTCTGCTGACTGTGTTCAGTGTCAATACAATATCTGACTTTATACTATACTACATAATGTAACATACCTTTATTTTGTGCTTATAGTACTGTCAGCTAATAGTAACTGTATTAGTCGATCATGATCATAAACTTAAAGTCAAAGAACCACATTGAAGTAAGATACTACTTAGGACAAGAATCTCACAATGGAAGCTGGGGTTTTGGCTTTTCAACACATATTTCTGTGGCCCACATTCACAGCTAACCATCAAAAATTGTAGTGACTAAACAATACTTACACTTTTGCAGTTAGGGTATTTTCCGTTTTATATACTTAGGATCTAGACCTGGATTATTTTATACAGAAAGCCCTTGTTCACTTAAAAGTGATGACTGATGCATCAGAATGGTGTGAAAGCCCAGTTGTTCAGGTGAGAAAAACACCATTTTGCATTGTCCATTGTCCTCTCGATTGCTGCATTTGACCCAATTACTCAGAAACGACTGCCCAGGTGTGAATAAGTACTCTTCTTCCAATCAGTTTTTACATGCCATCAATGAACTGAAACCTATACTGGCCAGAAATAAGAACGTAATCCAATAAAGGTTGCCAAACATGGAAAATGGTCACTAAAAGCAGCCGTCACCCAGACATCCGAACAGATGAAAAATTGGAATGAACGTAAACAAGAAAACCCTGTAACGTTTAGAATGATAAAATGATAACAATGCAATGTGTATTAGAGGTTGAGATACCATAAAAGTCACTTTTATTTCAATTTCAAGGCTTGAAGTTTAAGATGCAGAAAAAAGAACTCAAATTCTTTGAAGGTACTGATATTTTCTTTATATGACGGTATCTCTATTAAAAACATTTGGCTTTCCAAACTCGCCTGTACTATCATACTAAACTTCATATTGAACTAACTTCCAAAACCTCCAAAGTGACATGGTTTGAAAATGGAGCGTTATGTTTTAAGACTGCAGCACGTCGTGTCTTGAGATAGTTTTAGAGTCCGTCCCTCGGTATCCACATGCCACCTCCACTCTGCCATTTCCTTCTGCTAGGTCAAAATACTAACAATAATAAACAAACAATGCTTATGAAAAAAATCAGAATACAAAATCCAAAGACCAAGAGAAGACAAAATCCCTGAAATTGGACTCCAGGCCTTCTTGCCTACCCATATCTGTCAATAAGTGGTGAATGGATTCAGAACTAGAGTGTCCGAATACAGAATGGGAAGGGTAAAGAATCAGGGATTGAATGGGTCTTGAAGATATGTCAGCCAGTTTGTCCAGACCACAGGTCTATGGGACAGAAAAGGCAGAGGCTTTCCGGACTAAGGTGGCCCAACAAGTTGGCATATTGTTGGCAGACAGAAGGTTGGTGGCATACAAAGGTCCCAAAGAGAGTGAGTGGGGGCAAAAAAGCTGTTGAACCAAAGTGAGAGAGGAAATTCACTAAGACTTCTTGGAGTCTTGTGTGTTGCGCTTCTTGAGGTCGCTTAGGTCAACTGGTGTGAAGGCTAAAAACACAGAATAAAAAGTTGCACTGGATCATGCATGGTTCATCAAGACTTTAAAATCATGCAAATATTGTTTTTTGAGGGCATAATCAATACATTATGATCTACACCTATAATAAGAGCATTTATTAGGCTAAACTGTATAAGAAACTGCATTAAGCTAAACTGCATAAAAAAAAACTGCTGTTGCTGGAAAAAGAACTCACAGTGGAGATTGGGGTTTGGGTTTTTCTCCACATATTCTTGTGGTCCACGTTCACTATTCTGAGGTGACTTAATATCTCTTAGAACACAGAGCCATGCTAGAAGAAGAGCACAAATGTTATGATCAGTTCCACATGTTTATAACATTCCAAAAAAGGGAAATTATGCATTCATGTATTTCATTTAAAAAGATCTTTGTTAAAAAAGGTACTTGTGTAAAAGGACAGAAATCCATTCACAGCATGTAAAGCACCAGAGACTTACTGTCATGGATAAAGCGCACATTTTCTTCATGTGCAGGTGTGAAGAGTTCCCCAGTATTAGTTGGAGACCGAGGGCTAGAAGTCCTTTTGTATGTATGCATTCGGGGTGTGGAGGAACTGGAAGAAAGATGGTGAGAACAGTTGATGTGGTGTAAATCCACCTTAGATCAATGGATTTCAGAAAAAGTTCACCATTGACCATTTCAGACTTACTTAAAGATTTTTTCCTAAATGTCTTTATAATTAATTTGTTACAATGTAAAAAGTCATACAGTAGTTTGATGTGAAATGCCAGATTCTAAAGTGAGATTCTTAAGAATTGTTCACAACAGTTGTGATAGGAGGAGGCCTCCAAAGGTTACCTCACGGAGTGCTACTGTATGCAATAGTTATTCACAACAACTGTAATGAAAATCTGAGTCAGCAAGTTTCACTACAGTGCGTCATTTCACATAAAACCACTTTGAATGACTTTGTAAACGCTTTAATCAACGAAATACACCGAATTTTTTAATTACACAGAACTGTCAGAATTGCTTTTATCCTAGTAACACTGCCCATTAGGGTCCAAACTTACAGAAGCCCTAAAGGACCATGCAGTCACATATTTTATTTTCCCTGTTTATCCACTATAAGGTAATTTTATTTGTTCTCTCAAGATATTGAGTGATAATGTCATAAATGTTGTTTGCACACTCATAACAACACCATGGAGCCCCGCTGGTGACATCCTGTATAAATAAAAATAATGTGTGGCCATGACTTAGTAAGGCGTGGGAACGAGATCCTAATGCGTGGCCACAACTTTGTAAGGCCTGATCTCATTCCCACTCCTTACTAAGTCATGACCTCAACTTATTTATCTCATTCCCATGCATTATTTTCAATTATACAGGATGTCACCAGCAGGGCTCCGTACAACACAGAGCACAGAGCCTATTGAAAAATACACATACAAATTTCTGATCATTTGAGATTACGGTTAGTTTCTTTTCGCTCTATTCTAAAGACATCAATCACAGCCCGTTTAAAGACAAAAAAATTCATCTGTTTTAATTATGTTATCTTGAAAAACACAAAGTTTCATTTTTCTCAATATTGCAAGATCAATATTTCATTATCCCAGGAAAACAACCTTGGTCGTAATAGTGATAAATAACTCAAGATCTCAAGAATAAAAATCAAATGAACTCATTAACAGGCAAACTGAAAAACTAAAAAATGTGAATCCATGGCCCTTTAGGCCCGTCATACAAACAGAAGATTCAGAAACAATATTTTAGGCTTGTATCTTTATTCATTTTTGAGATGTAGAGACTTAGAAATACACATTTTGATTATTCATAACTATTAATGCTGGATGCATGACTTTTTTTTTTACTTAACATTAACAATGACAGAACATCACAGACCCCATGTTTTTATCTATATTGTTTTACATTTTATACACAGTTTATACACAAATGAATTACATGACTCAATGTATATACACATTTCCTGATTACTATTTTGCGTTGCTTTTTAATTTACTGTGTTTAGCTCTCAGCAATGTCCAGCCAGAAAGACAAAGACAGAATGAGCTTACCTGGTCATTGTGCAATAAATAGGCCTATGCCTTATCCTCCACACAGTCTTTGCTGAAATTTCGCAAAGAATTCCTCTGTGGAGCACAATATGATTCCTGAAAAGAAGAAAAATATGCAGACCTTAAAAAATATATGACGTAAGACATACTTCAGGCTGTTCTTTCAAAATACCAGACATGTTTATCCTGACTGAAAAATGTCAGGTGATAAGATGCTGGAAGCCCTTTCTTTACAGGAAGAGACCGTAAAATAAACACTCAACATTCAATTTGATATGGACTAGGTTAGTTATACTATATGTGGGGCAGTCTGAGGCTGACCAATGCCATCAGCGAAAACAAACCGTGCGTGTTCGCAGCCGGACACAATAACATTGTTAGAAAACTACAGACTGACGTTACCTTATTAACCATATTAACGTTACGACATTATCACTATAGACAATCAAATACATCTGAAAGGGCAGTTCAGATATTCTACGCCTAAAAACGAAGAAATCAGCTAGTCTGTCAAATAAATGCATTAAGCTGGGACCAAGGTTTGCAAACGTTGTATTCGTGGTTATGACTGCCCAGACACACAGATATAGGTTAATAGGTTAGCTAACCAGCTAGCGTGCAAACATTATTACGATGTACACAAAACAAGTTAAATTAATTTACATGAAACGACAGCGGTTTAACTACACTTTGTGTTGATTATTTTTTGTGACCAATCTGTTAGTGTGACTAATCTACAAAGTTAGCTTTGTTATCGGTACTGTAAGCCACACTGGCTAGCGAGCTAGCGCTATGAGTGAGTAAACACACACCGCCTGTCAAGCGGCTCAAGCACACAAACGGCACTCGCATCCCACAGAAACTGTGAACGCATATCTGACCCATTAACACGAAGGAAACAACTAACCAGCAAACCGCTCAGCTGCGCTCTTCCTTTCTTTCTTTGAATAAGAAAACGCAAAACCTTCGTCGGCCGCAGCGTTGCCAATGCAAACGGAGTATCTCCGGGTCAGCAAAACAAAAGCGGCCACACTGGCGCATGCGCAGAACATAGCGCCTATTCTGAGGGGAAACCTGGCTTCTATTTCACGTTTTAGGAGCCGAACACAACGGGTGCGTCCAAAACCGCACACTGCCACACTAAAAGTACGCAAAAAAGAGTACACCACCAACAGAAGGCCATGCATTAGTGTAGTATGTGTAGTAAAGTAGAATGTGGTTTTGGAACACAGATAAACACATGAATGAATGAATGAATGAATGAATGAATAAATTAAGCCATTTAAGTCTTGGCGTCACTGATTTAATTTCACACTAACTGTGTCATTGTTTTAAAAATAATAACAACACAGATACATTTAAAAAGGTGAACGCAAAAATAATATTGTAGTTTTTTATACTTATTTTTCATTTTATTATTATTATTATTATTATTATTATTATAGTTGAAGAAATGGTCATTTCAATTAAAAATTAAAAAGCTTTCATTCATCTGATACTAAGTAACGCAACAATAAGTAATGCAACGGCCAGTATTTCGATACCAAACACCGACAGCAATATTTTAAAAAACTTCTTGTGCACAGTTAAAAAAAAGGGGGGAAATGTAGTCATTTCTGAAGTAAATTGTTTTGAATTTATTGTTTTTGTGATGTCACGAGAATTAATACATTTACATGTCTACCTATTCAGACTACAGGAGTTTAGCTCCTTCCATTCAGACTGAAGATAAGAGAGGTATTTTAGCCTGGACTGGATTTTTGGAATGAAGTGCAATAAAAAAACGGCCAATCAGAACAGAGGTCATTCACATATATCAGTCTTAAAGTAACACAAACCCACACAATCTGTTTAATTCTAAGGGGAAAAGAGAGGTTGGAAAATGGTTGTATAAAAAAGAATTGCAAAATATATATATATATATATATATATATATACATTTAAAATACTGTAATAGGTGGACATCCTAGAGGAAAAAAAACACAAAACAAAAAATGTAAGAAAAATTTACAAATATAGGATGTAATGGGCCCTTTCACATATGTTTTTTAAACATACAATAATATTATAAATATAACAAACAAATAAGTTAAAACCAAATCAATGCTTTAGCACTGATTCGGAGATCACTAACAGTCACTATTACAGCGATGGATGGAACACTAGCGAACCAGTAGATAAAGCTGTCAAGATAATAGATTTCTTCTGTTATTTTGAAAGACTGGTTAACTGCAGCGGAATGATTAGCGATGTGTAACAATGATAGCCTAATCCCTGGTGTATTTGGATGTGAAAACAAACTTTGACATTTTGTAGATAAAAATCTGTATCTGATTTTGAGTAATGAGCCAGTCTGGCTTTGAGGCTTTCTGAACTCTTATCCTTCAGGTGGTGCTGTAGGCTACGCAAACCCCTGCAGAGGAAGAAATACACACATCTACTCCTGCTCTCAAAGTTTCAAGCTAATGTAGGGAAATTATCATATGTTTTCTAATGTTTGCTAAGCATGAACATTTAAACAGCACTCAGCCATTTTCCTTTCATGCTAATTTAAAGTAATGTTTGATCTCCAAAATTCTCATAAGGACATTATCATCATAATATGTACATTTCTGTATTCATAATTTATACATATTAGTTCAATTGTACACTTTTAAGCCCCAGCAGTACATCTTTTGGATGGATGTTCACATTTGTAGCATAACACATAGAAAACATAACATAGAATCATAACACATTTTCAGATACAAAACGTTGCAAAATGTAATGAGTTAATGTAGGCTTAATTTGTGAAGCATATGTTGGGTCACAAAAGCAGTTTTATTCATGTCTCACATCTGTGATTTCAATCTTCAAATGTATAAAAAGAAGCTAAATTACAAAATTATATCTTGTCAATTGTAACTGCATTGTATAATTCTTAAACCAAAACATATTTAAATAAATACTGTTGCTAATCAGTCTTTTTTCTTCTATAAATATGTCTATTCCACATTTATGTGTCTGTACTGAGACACTGACCAAGTGACTTCAAATAACATTTAACATAAGTTTGCCAGAGAATACTAGCAAATATTGCAATAAAGTGTCTGCTAAAGCTAATGTGACAGGACATTCTGTTTGCCATTTATGCTCAAAAAGGATTAGAAAAAAAGTACTGATAAGGTACTGCAGGAATATTTTTTATTCATCAAGGTACAAACAATGTAAATGTACTCTCAAAGGTACACCAATGGTTTTAAGGTTAAACTGTGTACATTAAAGTTTTTCCAGGTGAAAAGTACACATTTGTATTTTTTAAACCCAATGTTTTAAAACAGAACAATAGAACAAAAAGCCTGGATATGAGACGGGGTGTGTGGAGTCAGTACAACTTAGAAAATATAATTTCAATGGACTATGGTATTATGTTCCCTGACTAAAGCTACTGAGATGTACCCATGAGGGTACGACCCCAGTGACAAGAGGGGAACTGCCCCAGCCACAGTTTCGTACCTTTATTTCTGAGAGTGTAGCAACACTGGTGTATCATGTCATGGTGAAGACGTTTTCACTGTTTTTCTAAAATGCAGGCAGCCAAAAGTGCCTGTAGTTGCAGAAACAGAAATATGTGCATTTCTGTACTAGTTCATGTCATGTTTTTAAGCAGATAATGGCTTAAAACTATCCACAATCAACAGATGACAAATAAATAAAACACTTTTATAAAAGCACCTTTATTTATGAAAACAGTAAAAAATGAAAAGCATAAGACTTTTACAAGAGACATTCATCAAGTGTGTAAATATAGTGTGCTACGTTTTAGCATGACAGAAGCAATATTTTGCTCATATACAGATGCTATAGTTATAAGAATTTTTCATTAATTTTGTTCAGCATTGTCTCCAACTGCCCAGCAGACCAGAGACATACTGCTTCTCCAACTTTTGTACCGGTCAAATATATGCCAGTACACATGCTGTACCAGATTGAGTATTAGGAGTCAAGCATTTCCAAGCATTTCTCAGTCCCCCCAAAGGCCACTATGTTTAGACCTAATGCACAGATCCTTGAAAATAACAGCAACTGTGAGTGTGATTTAGGGTTGTCCTGATCTATTTTTGTCGAGGTGAGGTTACCAAATTTAAGCCATGGACCTGATGACGTTACTTACATTGATTAAATGATACAGCTGGGTTGGGCATCAGGGTGCTTTCAGCACAATGTAATTGGAGCTGAAACTCCAGAACGGGTCCCACTGTAAACACTCAGGGGGCCAGCATGTGTGCAGTTGCACAGTGCTACAGAAGTGGGGAAAAGGGATTAGCAGGGCCAAGGTTTCGCAGCATGTGAGCGAAGCACAGAAGTAGGTTAAGGCAATATATTTAGAGGAAAGTAGGTGCGCACGTATTCCTCTATGCCCTTGCAAAATGCATAGGAAAAAAACAAAAAGAAAACAACATATAAGGACGTTTCCCTCCACAAAAGCCAGCTGGAGTTTCCATTAGACTGTCTTTGTACCAATAGTTGACCAATAAACAGTAGCTCCTTTGATGGCCCCATCTTCTTAGACTTGAATCTAGGTACTTGGTTTCCTTAGACACAGCCCACTTCGAACAGTTTGATCAACTCTTTGCATTCAGGGTCAATAAGATCAGCTGGTTTCTCCCCATTCTCATTCTCAGCTTCCACGCTGGCACCCAGAGAGAGCAGATACCTGCGGAAAGGCCCATAACACAACTGTAAGATAAAGCAGCTTTGTATTTTTGTAAAGGCAGTGATTTTCCATGAAAAGAATGTTTAGCTATCTATCAGAATAGCCATCTATTGGCCTGTTTTGCTATTTGTAGTCCTAGCCATCTACTGGAATGTTTAGCTTTCCATCAACATAACAATCCATTGGCATGTTTAGCTATCTATTGGTATAGCCACCTATTAGCCGGTTTAGTTATCTGTTAGCATAGCCAACTATTGGCATGTTTAAGTATCTATTGGCATAGCCCCCTCTTAGCATATTTAGCTGTCAGTATAGCCTCTATTGGCACATGTTGCTTTGTGTTATTATATTATTTATCAGTTCTAAGGGCTTTTGTTTTTGATATTTGCTCGTTTCACACTACCGTGCAATCTCAGGGTAGCCATCACTGCAGGCCATGTGAAGAGGAGTCCAGCCATTCTCATCTCTCTGGTGAACATCAGCTCCATACTTTATCAGAAGCTTCACGCACTCCAAGTTCCCTGAGAGAACCGCTTCATGAAGAGCTGCCATGCCTATTGTAGGAAACAAGACACGAAAAGAGAAAAAGAGAGAAGTAAATGACTTGGCTCACACATCCTCTCTAATCAGTGCTTAGCTCACTTTTTCCCAAAAGATGCTGCTTTGCTCATTCAGATTTCACTAAGGCAGTAAAGGCCGACAGCAGAGCACCATGCTATTTTCTCAGCTTTGTCTAATTAGTGTTACCACCATCTGTACTCAAAAAGGGTTCTTTGGAGCAGTGTAATAGGAGAACCCTTTTTGTTCCTTAAAGAATCTTTCAGTGGGTGATTTGCTGAAACTACTCTTTGTAAGATATGGGGACTTGGGGAAATATATCATTGCATGCAACATGCACAACATTTTGTGCTGTCGGTTGTGCTTTGGACCCCTTCCCTGAATGGATGAATCTGGTGATTACGCTGCAGACACCATATTTTGTGATATGCAAGTGTGAAGATTACAAGTTTTTCCTAGAACATTATGTCCAAGTCAGTAACCGTTACACTGTGGGGAAAAAGCACTTTTGTTTTGTCACCAGAGCTGAGGCAAACCTCGCTTACCAGAATGGAAAATGGTGTCCACTCGCACTTTCCTTGCTCTCATGAAGCGGCCGATCATTTCCAGCTCCCCATGCCGAACATGGTCTTGGAATAAGACATCATTGGTGAAGCGTACAGTCCTGGCAGGTTTGACCGCTGCAGTGGGAGTCTGCTGGACAGGTGCACGGTGGCTGCTACTTTGGCGTGTGGGTTTGCTAAAGACAGACGTGTAGGTGGAGGTGCTTTTGTAGGCAGGGGTGTAGGCAGGTGGGGTGTAGTGCGATGGAGTGTATTTTGTTGAGCTGTAGTAGCTGGGGGTGTAGGAGCTGGTAGAGTAATGCTTTGTGGTGGAAAGTGTAGGCATGTAGTGCGTTGTTGGGGTGTATGTGCTGTGGCGTGTGTACTGGGACACCGGGTACTGGTAGCTGTACTTCATCCCTGCCGTAGTGATGCTTCAGCCTCCCCTCCTCTGCTCAGAGGTCAGGAGGAGGCAGAAGAAATCCAGAAAAATTCCAAGAAATGTCCAGAAAGGTTAATCCTTTGCAGGATAAGTCCCCTTATGTGGACCTCCAACAGAACAGCACTGGTACTTCCTCTCTGCAGATCCCACAATGCTTTTGAGGTACTTGACCACACTTTCTGAAACCAGTTTCTTGATCAGTTCTATACTTGTCTTAACTTGCCTGCTCTTCCCTCTTGACTCTACTTGGAATCTGTCCTGCTATCGCTTGTTTTTGAGCATTTATTGCACCTTGTCCTGTGCCATCATTTTGGGTTGTCTTCTGCCTGTGAAGGCTTGAGCAGGTCCCTTTATATTCTTTGTAGGGTTATTTTGGGAATGCTGTCCTGTGTATCATGTGACTTCAGCACAGCAGTGAATGGCTGCATCAGAGTTACTCCCACAATACTGTCACATGCGCTGCAACCTCTGACTCCACCTTCCCATGTAACTTCAAAAACGTGTCCAATACATGAAGCATGACACCTCCTACGTGTTTACCATACTCTCTTAAGAATAAAATTTTCAGGTAGTTCCTGGCTTCGGTGTATGGTTCTAGTTCAGGGGTCAGCAACCCAATTGTTAAGAAGAGCCTTTCTGTCCCATTTCAACAAAAATTTAAACCACCTTGGGAGCCACAGCATTTTATATCCATTTTATTGGTGTAGTATTTTAACATCTTGACTGTAAATATGTCTCAGTGTGTGCTAATGTCTTAGTATAGGCTTAAAAATATAATATAATACAATATAATATACTATAAATGCAGACTTACAGACTTTGCTCTGCTTTAAGCTTTAGCTTAGCTATAGCCACTTTTCGTGCATCTCCGGCAGGATACTTTTCCACACTAATGGTTTCTTATAATAAGTCTCTCAGCATTCGACTTTTTGGTGGCTGACAGTTTCTTGTTGAAACCAGCTGGAGTACATATAAATGCAAAAGAGTCTGTCCATTTGTCTCTAAATACTTAATGTTCATCTTGAATCTTTCTATTCTTTGCCATTTCATCAGCTACTAGCTAGACGAGATTGTTGTGTGCATTGCTTTGCCAGCAGTCTTCAGGGTTAATGGTTGTTGAACTAGCAGATATAGATTAATCCAGTGTTTAAGACCATTTATGAACTGTGTATGAGAATGCTCAGCAAAGCTTTATTTTACTGCAAGGAGGATCATTTTATTTTTATTTAAAAATCTAATTCTGCTATGGAGCTGCAAGGAGGCTGTAGAAGAGTCACACGTGGCTCTGGAGCCAGATGCAGCCGACACAAATGCTGCCCTGTTCTAGGGAAACAAAACTTTGTTAATTTGTTTGAAGTTCTTTCACTTTGAAAAGGTTCTTCACACCTACACTTTGGTTTACATCTGAACTCATTCCCAAAAATCTGGGTTCAACAGTTCTTTTGGAGACCTTTTATTTTTAAAAGTGTAGTTATGAGCATAAACAGTGTCTAAATCAGCACTCTTACTCATAGATCAATAAGCACAACCCTCGATCATCGACAGAGCATGCGGGCAGCAGGTGAGGGAAATGAAGGTTTTATAGCGGGTGGATGCCTCCAGAGCCTCGGTGGAGCCATGTGATCTTTTTAGAACATTCTAAAAGTGATATTAATCATGCACGTTCATGCTGGTCAGCAGCAGTCAGGCGATATTACAAATAGTACATACAGTAGGTCCACACAAGCATCATAAAAAGGGTTTACACATCAACCAAGGCATGGACTAGAAAGAACCCTGCATAATAAATGTTAATGCTCTGCTGGAATTAATACAAATTGGTACATGCAGATTTAATACCTGGTTCTCATGTGATGAGTCTGAATAAATTTGCATGGATTAAGGAACATATTATTCTAATAATGTTTTTCTATCCAAAACACAAATATCGGTGTTGAATATGATTTAAAATAAAGTAGGCCTTGCTTTCTTTCTGCAAGAAAATAAGGAGCAGGATCACTAAAATTCTTGTAAATTCTAGTAAGCACCCAAGACGAGTCACGCTTAGCAAGTTTACATGGACATTAAGTTTATACAGACAGACAAAAAAGACACAGTGAGTCAACACTGCATTGAGACCTTTTGGAAAAACAAGTTTTAGGCCACCAGTACCACCACTGCAGCCAAGTGTTGTCTCATGGATCCCACATAAATCAAAGTCACTAAGTTCATCCCCTCCCTCAATAAGGCATATCAGATGGTGTGGCTCAACAAACCTATTTGTTTTTAGATTTCAGTTTGTCTACATATAGCAGGAGTCAGCGGTGCTATTTATGGGTGGGTCTGGGGTGACGTCGACTGCTTGTTTGAGTTGCCTCAGTCATCCAGCATGAGGGTTTCCACAGCAATTAAAGAATGGACTAGAAACAAACACTACATTATCCATACAAACGTTGTAGAGTGATTAATACTAATTGGTAGATGTAGATGTCATATCTGGTTCTCATGTGATGAGTTTAAATCAATTTGTATAGCATAAGGTAAATATTAATCTAAATGTGTTTTTATTCAACACATAAAAAATAGCTGAACCTTTTGTAGCTGTTCTTTGCTTTTGCAAAGAAACAAGTAACAAAAGTTCTTCACTGGGAATATTGTCAAACCCTAGACATATTTTAACATTCACATCAGCTACTCTTTAAATATTTTAACATCAGTTAAATAGTTAATAGAAAACTATCATATCTTTATTTAAGCAAACTCTACTGTTAATACTAAGAAAGACACTTTGATAAACATGAGTGTTGCAAGTACTAGAAATTGCTTTTTAGGACATTATCCATAATGCCCAGCAATATAACAGTGAAAATAAAACATTAATTGGCAAATGACAAGAGAGGGCAATGTGTCCCCATAGTTTTTGCCAGGCAGTGAACATTCAATTGACTTCAAGTTCTGTGTACCTGCACCCTCTCAATCCCCAATTTCTTATATGTCTTTGATTATGAGCTTCATTCAACTATAAATGGAAAAGAAAATACAGGAAAAAAGTGAACTAAAAGAAAGATCATAACTCTGCATCCTACTATGTGCTTATATAACCGATCTTGATGAAACCTTGACCTTGTAAAAGGCTAGGAAAAGTTCTGACGTGCTCGTTCTTGCATAGCTCAGACCTGCTGCTAGCGTGAGAAGTCACTGGTGCGTGTGGACTGTGCTCTGAAGTCCAGACCTCTATACACTGCAGCTGTCCTGAAGGAGTCTTCAGAGAGTGGCTGTGCTGGTTGGATCTGGATTTCGCAGGCCTTGGGCTGGGCTTCAGCATTTTACAGAAGGTGATGCCTAGCCAAGAGGAACAGTGAGAGGAAAAAGCACTGGCTCTCCTCCCTGAGTCTCATATTAAGAGCCAGTGACCTGACTAGTAGACAGTTCATGCATAATAATATCCCATGGCAACCAGCACACATGGATATTTTTATACTAATTTAATTTTCTTATGCTTTAATATAGACAAGTTATCAAGTTTCAGTTGGCTGTGATCATGGCTACTTTAACAGTTGGCCTACATACAAACAAGTCTGAGGAAATGAGTTAACACTCTTTTAAAATTCATGTTTAAACACATTTAATGCTTGTTAAAGACATTCCACGTTTTGAAGCTTGTACGATATTAACTCATATATATTACCTTGTATGTTGCAGTTTTACAGTGACTCTTCAGTAAAAGATTCTGGCACAGAGCTGCTGCCGCTACTTTTTGATCTCTAACAATGTACAGAAATCTGGTTAGGCTTCTGCTCCTATTCACAGTCTGTGACATATCTTGGCATTCCAGAAGGCCTGGAGTCACAAAATTGGTCCCACCCAATGGCAGTCAAAACACGACATGAACTGTCACTTCTTAATTATGTTGGTGGTAATTTGACATATAAGGCTTAATCTACCTAGATACCACAAGTGGATTGGACCAAAATATTTAGCTCTTTTTGCCTGTCAAAATGAAAAAAGAGTATTACTACAGTATTTGCAGAGTTTCAATACACCAAAAATGGTTCTATAACTAAAAATGATCTTACAAAAGTTTCCAGAATTATAGGCCTTCACTGACAATCTAGAAAGCCCTGGGGATTCCCTTCTAATAAAAGATTGAAGGGTCAGTTATTGCACTTGTCTAAATGAAATAATGAATATTGCACTTGTAATGAATATACTTCTAAAAATAAAGATCCCTAAATGGTTCTTGGCTGGAACATGCAGTTCTAAGAAAAACCTTTAACTGATACAGAATTTTTAGATTATATGGAGGTTCTTCAAACTTATTACAAAAAAGGCTCTTCATACTTGCACATCCAAGTTACTGGTTAATCATTCTGTAAAGAAACATCAGCTAAACAAGGAATAATAAAAAATTCTTCATATAACATAACAGGATGATCATGAGCAGGAACCATACCATTACATTTACAGTGTAGATAGATAGATAGATAGATAGATAGATACATAGATACATAGATACATAGATAGATAGATACTTTATTGATCCCGAAGGAAATTTAGCAGCCAGTAGCAGTCACACAACACAGGACAGTTATAATAATAAGGGTGATACAATATAAAAAGAAGAATATATACAAAAAACCTATCTACAGGTATATATACAACTAGAAATATACAACAATATGCAACATTTATCCTGAGATAGTCTAAGCGCTTATCCAGAGCACCTTACAATTTATTTATGTTACAGATGTAGACAAATGTAGTGTTAAGAGTCTTGCCCAAGGATTCTTACTGGTGTAGTGTGGTGTGCTTGCTTGGTCGGGAACTCCTGTCTACTGTGTGGAGCAGCAGTGTTACCCCATACACTACATCAAATCTGAAACTGTCGAGTCAGTACTTGGGGCTAACATAGTATAAAATAAAATATGAAGGCTCATTTATTCCCCCTTTACGTATGAAAATAAATACGTCTACTCAAGCAACGTAACCACCACTGTCCTCATACTTCCATGTGCCCTTTACATTGGCATGGATCTGTAAGCTTTCAGAGAACATGCACAAATGTGGACAAAATGAATGCAAAGTATGGACAGAAGGCTCCGTCCGAATCTGTATCTGTATTTAACGTTGAGCATGAATGAGCCTTAACGGTGATGTGATTACTTTTTCCCCTAACAATGTAGTGTAACACATTACAGTTTAAGTTCTTGTAATAACAGTGTGAATGCAAGCAGCTCAGCATTAACGCAGGAAGCACCAAAAATTAGAGTCAGAAAAATCTATTGAAAGATCTAATCACATTAATATGAAACTGATGGATAAAAATCTGCATACTGAAGGAGAGAACCGCAACTTCATCTA